GGCACAGAAGTCAGTTTTCGGCCTGGCCGAGTCTACTTTGAAGAAGTGGTTCTACCGCTGAGCCACACTCAAGGGGCCAAACAGCCACATGTGGCTCGAAAGCTGCAGTTTGCCGACCACTGCTTTAGGCTACTCAAGACTGAATCCAATGATCTATTTTGAATGATAGCCTTGCTGGATGTAGTAATCTTGGTTTCCAATTCTTGGTTTTATTACCTGAACACTTCATGCCATTCCCTTCTGGCCTGTAGAGTTTCTGATGAGAAATCATCTGAAGGCCTTATGAGAGCTTCTTTATACGTAACAAATTGCTTTTCTCTTGCTGTCTTTAAGATTCTCTCTTTGTCTTTCACTTTTGGCATTTTAATTATGATGTGTCTGTTTGAGTTCTTCTTGCTTGGGACTCTCTGTGCCTCCTGAACTTGTATGAAGTTTTTCTTCACAAGGTTAGGGAAGTTTTCTGCAGTTATTTCTTCAAACACATTCTCTATCCCTTGCTCACTTTATTCCCCTTCTGGCATACCTATTATGTGAATATTGTAACATTTCATTTTGCCCCACAGTTCCCTTAAGCTATCCTGTTTTTAATTTTTTTTTTCTTTCTGATTCTTTGACTGAGTGAATTTTCCTATCCTGTCTTCTAATTCACTGTTCTGATCCTCAGCTTCCCCTAATTTTCTGTGTATTCCTTCCAATGTGGTCTTTATTAGTGCCGTATCATTCTTTATTTCAGCTGATTTTTTTTTCAGTTACTATATCTTTTAGCATGCTGTTGAGCATCTTTACCATCATTATTCAGATCTCTATATCAGATAAATTTATTATCTCCATTTAATTTATCTTTCTTCAGGAGAATTCTCTTATTTTTTTCCCTTGTTGGTGGTTGTTTTTGTTTGTTTGTTTGTTTTGTCTTCCCATTTTGACTGCCTGTTTGGATTTGTGTCTGTGTATTAGGTAGATCTGCTGTGACTCCCAATCTTTAGTACAGGACACTGTCAGATGCTGTTTCTGATTGGCACTGAGTACCCTGTTTGGGGCTATCAGTAATCACAGCTTGTGGCTTCCTCTGCTGGGGTCGGGTACTTTTGGAAAGGAACAAGATATCTGCCTTTCCTAGCCCCAGGCCCAGAAGGAGATCAGACAAAGACAAAGCCTCCAGAGGTCTTCCTCCGCCTGCAGTGTGAGTGTGATCAGACATGGTTGGCCCTGAGCTATGGATGACAGCGTGGGAGAGCTCTTCCAACAGAGTGTGGTGACTGCCTTTCCCCCAGATGAAAACACCTGGAAAGCTGAGGTCTATGGGAGAAAGATGTTCTCTCCAGAACGAGGAAATGACTCAACACAGGAATCGGGTGGCTGCCCTTGGTGCCCCAATCCCAGAGCTCCCAACCCTGGACTCTTCTCACTCAGCTCCGGTCCACTCTGCCCTCCCTTTGCCAGAGTCCAAGGTGAGTGGCTGCATATGAAATTTTGTGTGTTGGCCCTTTAAGAGAGTAGCTGCATCTCCAGCTGTCTTTTCCTGGCAGACAGCAATCCTGCTGCTTTTCACAGCCAGATGTTCTCTGGCACCTTTCTCAGTTCTGGTGCTCTGGGCTGCAGAGCCCAGCTTGGGGATTAGACCTCAGAGTTCTCAGTGGGAACCCCTCAGCTGAGATATTCCTCTGGACCTTTAGCTGCTGTCTGTGGGCACCCAGCCAGCCCTCCGCACCTCCTCCCTCCTACCAGTCTCTATGTGGCCTCCACTTCCCGTCTTGGTTATCAGGGTTCTCTCCAGCGAGTCTTCAGTTGAACTTACAAGGTTGCTTTTTCTGTATTTTAGTTGTATTTTCAGTTTGGTCCTGGGAGAGTGTCAGTGTAGCTTATTTTTAATACCCCAAGAACCAATTTTTATGTACAAGCCAGTGGGGCCTGGGACACAGATTATAAGTGGAAAATTCCCTCTGACAGTAGCACAGTGAAAGATAATGTGCATTGTCCTCCCTTGCTGTTCAGTTTGCAGCACCACAAGATTATTTAGATGACAGCGTATTTGGGCAGGCGTGTTTGGTCTGACCCAGGCACAATTCCATCCCCATGCTCACATTCAGAGTAGAGCAGCACGTGACCCAGGACAAATGATGATAAACGATGGTAGGAGCTGACCCACTCCTGCGTTCTCTGTGGTTGCTTGAGGAAGTAATGATTGCATCTGTGGCAACCTTTCTGTAACCATGGAGACAATAAACAGAACCAAAGACAGAGAGAGCTTTGGTCTTTGACAACGTCTCTGAGTACTGCATTGCCACCTGGATTCTGCTCTGGCAGCTGAGGCAAGATGGAGCAGGAGTGGGAGTGACAGGGTGGTGCCAGCCATCGGCAAGAGGTCCACAGAGGGGCCTCAGAGGGGCCACAAAATATTCCCTTCCACTTTCACCAATTGAAGTCCCACTCAGGTTTCCAGGCCTCTAACCTAACTCATCCAAATGCTCTCATCACTGTCAGAGGTTCCATGGTAGACGGTTCCTCGGTCCCGGTTCGTACTGACCCTGTGCAGCTAGCATTGTTGTTCTGCCTTATGCACGATTAATTAACTTGTCCCAGGTAAACCTCAGAGGCGGGAATCTGGGTCCTCTGTTCCTGAGACCTGGGATCTGTCCATACCCCAGCTGCTTTTTAATCCTAACGCTCATGACTCCCTCCAGATTCCACCTTTTCTTCTTGTTTCCTCAACAATAATTGCCTGTTACCATTACTGCCACCTCCGTGGCTGCGTGAGTCCAGTTTAAATCCCAGTGTGAGTTCCAGACTTGGGGTAGATGAGGTCAGAATAATGCAGTTTGCTTCACAAAAACTTGATGGAGAGGGGAGGTGGGCGTGTGAGTAAAGGAGCCCAGTGCTGGGTGTGGGCTGGGCTGGGGGAGGAGGAGGGGAGGCCCTGCTGACGGCTGTCCAGGGGTGGACACTAGTCACAGGGGACTCAGTGGGCTGCATGGGGGACGAGGGGGCGTTCGTAATGGGGACCCTTAATACTCAGATGATCAAGGAGGATGGGCTCTGGTAAGGAAAACCGGGAATTCCAGGCACAGAACATGGTGGAGCTGAGCCAGGGCCTGGAGGCTGCAGGGAAGCGGGAAGCACTCACAGCAGCCTGCAGGCTTCCATCCTGCTGCCGCCTCTCCCTCTGCCACCTGCAGCCGCACTGCCAGGTGCTGCTCGGCTCCATCACCACCTGCTCAGTGACCTCCCTGGCTTTGCCCTGCGCCTCCAGCAGCCACACAACGCTCCCGCCTAGTGGTTGAAGCCGGCCCTGCAGACTTTCTTCCCTTCTCTGCCCTCCAGGGTGTGGCTGTGCCTGCCCAAGCCTCTTCACAACCTTCCCAGCATGATCCCTACCCAATACCCCCCTCTGCCAGGCCTTTCCCATCCGCCTCCTCCCCAGGAAGCCCTGTATCTGTTCACCCGCCACCAACTAGAGAGGAGTTTGGTGTTCATGGTCCCTCAGTGGCGCCAGTTCACCACACACGCGGTGACAGTCTGTCAGGTGCTGTGGGAACATGGGTGGGGGAGAAGGTGAGGTCAGAACACAGCATGGAGTCTGTGGGCTTTTCAGTATTTTCACATAAAATCAGGTTTTGTTATGATAGAAGTGAAAAACCACACGAAACACTTGTTACACAGACAGACGGTCCTGGTCCCGCCTGCTGGAGGCTGAAGGCTGTGTTACAGCCTGAGATGGGAGTCATGGGCCATACACCCCACTGTTCACAGTGTGTAGTTAAGTCCTTTCTTAGATTACAGAGCTGTGCAGCTATCACAGTTAGAATATCTTGTCGCCCCCAAAATGAACCCTCTGTCCTTCACAGTTACCTCCACACTTTCCTTTTGCTTCACATAACTTTGCAAGCATCCCTACGGGCTGTGCGACAGCCTTCTCAGCCACCTCGTCCGGTGATGCTAGCGATGGAGGGGTGCACAGCCCGTGTGCCCTGGAAGGATGGAGCTGGGGAGGACGGGGCAGATGGATGGAGCAGAGTGGAGACAGAGGGAGAGCAGAGGGAGGGGCGGTGGGGGCAGACTGCGAGGAGGGACCCCCTGAGCCTGCCTTGGGGCGGAGAGGAGCGCGCTCTGGAAGCCGATTGGCAGCACCCGCCCTAGGAGTGCGGGGAAGGGTGCAGGGGCGGGGTGGGAAGTAAGATCAATAGCCGAGTGTACCACGAGAGCACACAGGTCTGAGGAGAGTTGAAAACGAGCTTGGTTTTGGACGGACTGGATTTGGGGGCCTCGGGCTCTCCTGGCGGAGTGAAAGGTGTGGGCAGAGGGATGCTGGGGTCTGGCCCTCACTCAGGAGGTGCTCAGGGCCACGAGTGAGGCGTGGGAGTGTCCCCAGGGCGGGTGTGGAGGGCACAGAGAGCGCCTGGAGCACCGGCGCTCTAGGGAAGGGTGGGGGTGGGGGTGGGGAGAGGGGGCGGATCATGTGCCAGCGGAGAAGCGGAGCCGGAGGCGCCCGGCAGAGGGGAAGGCGGGCGCCGGTGCAGGTGGTGCGCGCAGAGCTGCAGCCGCAGAGTCCGCTCGCCGTCGGGCCGAGCGGGGGTCCCGTCGCTGCCTGCACCTCCGCGCCCTTCCTGAGGCATCTCATCCGGGCAGCAAGGCGAGCCCTGCCTGTCCAATGGGGAGCCTCCAAAGGCTTCAGGTCCCGGACACCCGCCGTCGGTGGAGTGTTTGGGGGCAGCCGGCAGCGGCGGGCGCGGTCCCCGCTCTCTCCACGCCCCGAGCGGCGGCCCCGAGCGCCCGGGCGGAGGCAGAGCGACAGCGCGGGACACACCGGCGGGAGGGGCACCGGGGAAATCGGGGAACTTGGCTGTCAGATGCTGGCCCCGGCCGTGGCTCTCCGGCGGGCGCGGACCTCGGCGGGGCGGGGCGGGGCGGGGCCCGCGGGCCCGGGACGGGCGGGCGCGCCGGCCAATGGGCGCCCCGCCTCCCCGCCCCGCCCTGTGGTCGGTCCGGAGCGCCCGGCGCCGGCGCCCCAGAGGCGCGGCGGCCTGGGTCCCGGCGGGCCCTGCCCGCGGGGCGCACGGTCCCCGCTCGGCGGCGCGGGCAGCGATGCCGCTGGAGGCGCAGGACGCGCTGTACGTGGCGCTGGAGCTGGCGCTGGCCGCGCTGTCGGTGGCGGGCAACGTGCTGGTGTGCGCCGCGGTGGGCACGTCCAGCGCGCTGCAGACGCCCACCAACTACTTCCTGGCGTCGCTGGCGGCGGCCGACGTGGCCGTGGGGCTGTTCGCCATCCCCTTCGCCGTCACCATCAGCCTGGGCTTCTGCACCGACTTCTACAGCTGCCTCTTCCTCGCCTGCTTCGTGCTGGTGCTCACGCAGAGCTCCATCTTCAGCCTGCTGGCCGTGGCCGTGGACCGCTACCTGGCCATCCGCGTCCCGCTCCGGTGAGCCCGCCCCCGCCCGCCCGGGTCAGCGGCGCCCGGACCCCGGGTCCCGGCCGCGCCGAGCTCTGTGGGGACGGCTGGGAGGTGCCGGGAGGGTGCCCCGGAGCCGCCGGTCGTGGAAACGCCGGGAAAGGCGCCACTTCCGCGGGCGGTGGGAGCCCCGCAGCGGGGGTTCGCTGGTCGCACCCCCTCTTTGCGGCCCTGGGGGTCCCGGGGGTCGGACCCCGGGCGGAGTCCAGGCAGCTTGGGGCGCGGGGACTCCCGCGGGCAGAGCGGACACTGCCCACCACCAGCTTCAGGTCCGAATGCGCCGGGGGCGCCGAGGCCGCGGGCGGGGTGGGCTTAGCGGGCGCCAGGGCCTGTCCCTCCGCCCTGCGGTGAGCGGGTCCCCCCGCGTTTTAAAAGCCTCGTGCGGGCCTGTGACCTCCTCCCCGCCCGCCCGGGCCGGCCACACGCCCGCCCGCACGAGGCTCTTAGAGAGGAGCCTCCTTCTCCTGCTGAGAACGCGTGGGAGCCGCCGGGGGACGGGCCGGGGGACGGAGCCGGGGGGGACGAGCCGCCGGGGGACGGGCCGGGGGGACGGAGCCGGGGGGACGGAGCCGGGGGGACGGAGCCGGGGGGACGGAGCCGCCGGGGGACGGGCCGGGGGGACGGAGCCGGGGGGACGGAGCCGCCGGGGGACGGAGCCGGGGGGGGGGACGGAGCCGCCGGGGGACGGGCCGGGGGACGGAGCCGGGGGGGGGGGGACGGAGCCGCCGGGGGACGGGCCGGGGGACGGAGCCGGGGGGGGGACGGAGCCGCCGGGGGACGGGCCGGGGGGACGGAGCCGGGGGGAACGGAGCCGCCGGGGGACGGGCCGGGGGGACGGAGCCGGGGGGGACGGAGCCGGGGGGACGGAGCCGCCGGGGGACGGAGCCGCCGGGGGACGGAGCCGCCGGGGGACGGAGCCGCCGGGGGACGGAGCCGGGGGGGACGGAGCCGCCGGGGGACGGAGCCGGGGGGGACGGAGCCGCCGGGGGACGGGCCGGGGGGACGGAGCCGGGGGGGACGGAGCCGGGGGGACGGAGCCGCCGGGGGACGGAGCCGGGGGGACGGAGCCGGGGGGACGGAGCCGCCGGGGGACGGAGCCGGGGGGACGGAGCCGGGGGGACGGAGCCGCCGGGGGACGGAGCCGGGGGGACGGAGCCGGGGGGACGGAGCCGCCGGGGGACGGAGCCGGGGGGGACGGAGCCGGGGGGGACGGAGCCGGGGGGACGGAGCCGCCGGGGGACGGAGCCGGGGGGACGGAGCCGCCGGGGGACGGAGCCGGGGGGACGGAGCCGCCGGGGGACGAGCCGGGGGGACGGAGCCGCCGGGGACGGAGCCGCCGGGGGACGGAGCCGCCGGGGGACGGAGCCGGGGGGGACGGAGCCGCCGGGGGACGGGCCGGGGGGACGGAGCCGGGGGGGACGGAGCCGGGGGGACGGAGCCGGGGGGACGGAGCCGCCGGGGGACGGAGCCGCCGGGGGACGGAGCCGCCGGGGACGAGCCGGGGGGACGAGCCGCCGGGGGACGGAGCCGGGGGGACGGAGCCGGGGGGGACGAGCCGGGGGGACGAGCCGGGGGGACGAGCCGCCGCCCGGCGGGAAATTGGGAGTTGAGCTCCTGAGCGGGCGTGTCTGGGCGCTCAGGGCTCCTTGGAATTCTTTCTGCTCGGCCTTTGGGCCCGTTGGCAGGTCTGAGCTGGGTGAGCTGGGGATCCCTTTGGGTTTGGGGCCGAGACAAGAAACTGCCGCGGGAGCAGGAAGGGAGGGAAGGGTTTAATGTGAGGTCAGCTGTGTGCGGCGGGTTACATCCTCTGGCTGCGGAACCCCAGAAGGCAGGGACCGTGGGTGGCTGGCGGAGAAGCGTGTTGTGGGATTGCCCGGCCTTCCCAACACCGCACGAGGAGCCTGCCCTGTGGTTCCTGGGTCCCTGCCTGACGGGAACCGCCCGCTCCACGGCCGGGAGCCTGACCTGGTGCCGAGAGGCCTCCTGTGCCCCGTCCGTGACAGCCCGGATCGCCAGCGCCCGGGTGGCACACTGTTCCCTCGGGGCCTTCCTGCCTCTCGGTCAGCATGTTGGCATCCAGCAGGCGCACCCCCATGCCCGCAGCCCCTGGGCATGCCCCTGGCAGAGGTCCACAGAGGCCCGCTCCCGTCCCGGAGTGACTGGAAGATATTCCCCTGTGCCCCGTGGAGCAGGAAGTTCCATCTGCTGGTTCTTGTCCGGGCGCAGACCTGGAAGATGGGATGGGTGTGTTCGGGGGAAAGATCGTGAATCACTGGCCCTCCCTCCTTTGCATGCACTCAGGCAGCGCTGGGCAGGGCAGAGTGCTCAGTGGGGAGGCACTGCGCCCTGCTGGCCTCCGCAGGAGTTTAGGGAGGAAGAGGTCCCGGGAGGCCTGGCGTCTGGCCGTCCCCAGCGCCCACCCACCTGTGGTCGGAATGGGCTCCGTGTTCCAGGGCTCCTGGGCCCTGTGGGCTGGTGCCGAGGGCAGGCTGTGTCCCTCCGCAGTGTCTGCACTTCCTGCTCCGAGAGCCAGGCCCTGTGAGCGGGCTAACACGCCGATTCCAGGCCCTGTGGAATCGGGTGGGGTTGCTCCTGGATCCGTTCCTCTAACAGGGGACTTCCGGGCCCGAGTCTGAACCCTCTTGGAGTCAGGAAGACGTGGGGCTCTCCCTCGCTCTGTTGACAGGGCCGGGGCCCAGCCCTGACCGGGCACGCGGCCGGCGCAGAGCAGTTTGGGAGGAGCTGTCTCCCTGTAAAACAGCGCGGCGGGTCCAGGCCCCTGGGGCAAAGCCAGCCCTTGGCCGTGCCCGTCTCACCGTCCCTGGGCCCTGAGCCCCGCTCGGAGCACAGCATTGTAGCGGGAGGATGGCAGAGAAGGGGCAGGAGCCGAGGTGGTGCTGGCACAGATGGCAGCTGCGGCTGCACCAGGAGGGTCTGCCTGGCCTTCAGCCCGAGGGCGTCGAGAACAGTTAAGGCCACATGTTCCTGGCAGAGGGTTTAGTTCAGGGGGTGCAACTGAGGGCAGGAATCGGGGGTCACCCTGCAGTGCCCCCTTTTGGTGGATCTGAATGACCGCATCTCGGATATCATCGTGTGTGTGTGTGTGTGTGTGTGTGTGTGTGTGTGTCCTTTTAGCAGCTCCCGATCAGTTCCCCTGGGCCCCCCAACGCCTCTCGCTCCCCTAAATCATTCTCTACTCAGCTGCGGGAGAGGGGGCTGGAAGCTGCCAGGCCAGGCACTCCCCTGCTTAAGCTGTGCGCTGGCCCAGGCTCCACTCTGGCCTCAAGGCCGGAAGGCTCAGGCTCTGTAGCCAGCGCACCCTCCGCACCTCACTCACCACCACAGGCCCTGCGCCAGCCCGGCTCTGCCGCCTCCCTCCCTCCCCACCCGAGGCTTCCCTCGCTGCCTCTGCCCTTCACCCACGTCCTCCCAGGCTGTGGTCTCAGCGGAGTGTGAGCTCTGAGGGAGGGCACCATCCAAGCGTGAGCTAGGGACCCACCTTTGGGTGAATGCATGTGTGTGTGTGTGTGTGTGTGTGTGTGTGTGTGTGACGCCTCGGGGACGTGTGGGGAGAATATGCAGACAGACTGGAGGGAGGCCAAGATGGCAGATCCCAGGAACAGGAGGGATCTCTGAGGTAACGGCTGTAGAAGAGGATGGCCCTCTGAGCCCAGCAGGGGAGGGGAGAGGGGAGCCCCCACGGCCTGAGGAGAGTGGGCGGAGCCGCAGCGGGCCCTGCCCAGCTCCCAGGCCTGGCGTGGCCGTCCCGGCTCAGGGCTGGAAAGTCCGGGCGGTAGGAGAGAGGGCTGTGCTCTGTGCTGTTTGCCCCCGTGGCCCGTACAGGCCTCTCAGCCCCACCTGCCAGCCACTGCCCGGAAACCAGCAGCAGGTGCCGCCTGGCGTGGCCGAGCCGTGTCTGGTGCTGGGGGGAACCCTGAGGCGGAGCCGGCAGGGGAGGGGAGCCTGGGCTCCGGGGCTGTGGAAGGAGGCCCGCCCGCCCTGCTGCCCGGGGCTGCCCACGCTGCTCTGCGCGCTCGGAAGGGCAGGCGGCCGCCACAGCCCCGCGGGACCACCTGTCCCGTCCGGAGAGTGAGGTGCAGAGGACAGACGTTAACACTGGGGGTGGCGCTCCGCACGGCCGGCAGGGCGGGGCCCACTCCATGGAGCCCTGGCTTCGCTCTGTCAGCTGCCGGCACGGGTACGAGGGCTATGCCCAGGGCCGCTCTGGACACTGGAGTGTGAGGTCCACCCCGCAGCTCCCTCTGGCTCCGCAGACCAGGCGCGGACGGGAGTGAGGTCAGCCAGGTCGCTACCCTCCAGGCGCTGTGGTCAGCTGGAAACGCCCAGTGAGGAGTGGTCCCTGTGGGTGGAAGGGAGTGAGCAGCAAACTAGGATGGGGCCCTTTAAGCATTACCAGGACCGAGAAGGCTGCTCGAGAGGAATGTGGCCAGCTGAGGGAAGAAGGCTGCCCTGGCCGGTGGGCGTGAGGCATCTGTCTGACCACCTGGCAGCCCCCCTCCCCCCCGCCCCCCGTGGCCTTCTTCCTGCCTCTTTCCTCAGACAGAGCTGGTCCCGGGAGCTGGTCTAGGGGGGCTGGTCTCGGGGGGCTGGTCTCGGGGGGCTGGTCTCGGGAGCTGGTCTCGGGGGCCTGGTCTCGGGAGCTGGTCTTGGTGTTGGTCTGGGGGCCTGGTCTTGGCGTTGGTCTCAGGAGCTGGTCTCGGGGGCTGGTCTTGGCGTTGGTCTCAGGGAGCAGGTCAGGGCTTCTCGTCTTGGCATCAGTAGGCGGCGCTTGGTCTCTGAGGTGAACAGGCTGCAGAAACGTAATGGCAAATAGCAAGTGTGCCTTCTTCATGGAATTAAAGCTGAGAACAGACTGCACAGGCCCCAGGGTGGGGACTGAGGGCTGATGCTGGGGTGGGGGATGCACTGGGGAGTGGGGGGGAAGGGGCATTAGAGCTGAGGGGGGCAGG